ACTTTTTATTTTGAAACAATAAATTTCCTCTGTTGATGATATTAATATAAATTTATTTGTATTTTCTTGTTCGATACACAATCCTATGGAACAATAACTGTACAATTAATTTAACGTCAATGCACGCGGATAAAATCTTAAATCACGATCTATAACAAAAAACACCAAAACAATAGGAGACACAATTTGAATTGGTGAAATTAACCGACGGCAAAACCTGAAAGCTCTAGAATGATAAACGATTTCTGCACCATTATGAGAGCAAGGGAACACTTAAGTGTCAATGAAGTAATACTATCAAAAAAAGAACAGAGGAAAGATTTACACGGAGACCCTTGGCAAGGTACAACGCAATTAAGACTAGAAATTCCGGAAGGGCAACCGTCTTCTGCTTCATCGACATCACCCTCTGTGTAAATCTAGGTCAAATCCTAGTAATGGCACATCCTGATAGCGACATCTCGGGTAGTGACCACAGGGCACAAGGATGAAAATACAAAATGTTTCCTCAAAGACATAGGATGATATCATTATAGCGACCATACAATTTGTCGATAGGCGTCATCAACTTGCTTCGTTGGAAACCCTGTGTTGTAAGTATGTACGTCAGCAGTCAATATATATTACGACTGTCATAATAGTCGGTGCAAGTCCTTGAGTACCAAAATCAAATGCGACATGTAAACACCACAGGCTCGAGAAGCAGGGATGTTATTATGAAGAAAGACATATTTCACGACTAGAAAGCCGTCCCTGTTTGTCAAGTTGTAAGCAAAGGTCCAGGTACATGACTCAATTTGGAATGTCTGTGGTTGCCTGCTTGCAACCGCATGAGAGTGTGGTCATAAACATTATTGTTTTTCAAAGACAACACCTTGTTGATACATCAGAATGTGAACTTTAAGGACTTGCCTAGGTTTTTTGTTTCTTGATTAGCTCATTAATATTTTAAGAAATGGAAGGCTATTTTGTTACTTTTGAGGAACGGGGGTGTAATTTTTCGTTAATAATGATAATTTACCATATGTACCTATAAGGTGTGGGTAGCAGACATATGTAGAAGTTGTCTAAAGCGGGATTCCTTTGTAATGTGTTTGTTCCCTCAAGACAAAATAAAACCTGAAGTATGACAGACATAAGGATGCGACTGATATATAAAGACACAAATGATTTTTTTTCTTCTCAAACGTGCTCCATTTTTAGCAATATTAATGTCCTAAATCTTCCCGATTCCGGCATATGTTGTCTCTTGCCTACAGATAATACTGTTCCCTGTATGGAATGCCCATTAGATGGCAGCTTGTTCGTCAAGTGTGCGTGCGAGGGTTGCCGATTTCGACTCTTCGATCAGCTGGACGTGATTATTAAACAGTTGCTTGATTTGTTTCTATACAAGTAAATCGTCCTATGTTTCAACTATAATTGATAGCGGTTCGATAACAAAAACATTTAACACTTTAGATCGGATCAAAGGTTAAACTCGCGGTTGTTATTCTACGAGTGTAGAATAATCTTTCGAGCGGTAGTGTAGCTTATCCTTTCAGCAAGCTGTATTTTGTCCTACAGGAAAACCGGGTTTTTTAGAAATTCTTACGTGTCGTCTTACAGTGAATGTGCAAAGATACCGATCATTTTTAGATAACTTCACACTGTCGTTTTGTGTTGTTTTGTTTCTATTGTCATTATCTTTATATCATCATTGATAACAGGAGTTTATTATTGATGGCAATGACGAGATGTCTTTGTTGTGTTGGACTTTGTATGAGTAATTCTATTGAAAGGTTGTACAGTTTCTTATTGTATGTCACCTTTACAAGTAGGTGAATATGACATCATAATCATACTCATCATGCACCAGTACTTTCAATGCTGATAACGAATGGTGAAACCTCTAGAAGATAAATAACAATGGTTTGACAATTAGCTGACATTGTTTAACTGTCAATGTAACAATAGAGATTTCAATGTATTTACATCTAATCGAAATTATGATTTAATGTAATAACAAAACAGTATATGGTAATGACAAAAAAAATGAAATATAACCTAACAAATGAAATTCCTACCGATTTAAACCAAACAAAAGGATTTTTTTTAAAACATTATCCTTGTCACATTTCTGGTTGATATTTCTGTACGCAAATATACCGTGTTCGACTTCATTTGAGCGCAATGTTCAATGTCATTTTCGAATTTCGCCAAAGATGAAGTATGGACTTTTAACATATACAATATATTTCTATCAAAATACACAAGCACCTTGAAGATTTTGTTTATAAACAAAATAGGCATTCCAGGCATTTATTTCTTAACCTTTGCTAAAAAAAAATATATGAGCAAACACAATCATGTCCATGCACACTAGTTCTAAACACAAATGTGATTGGTAAGTGTTCATAAGATGTAATATAATATAAAGAGCCACTAACCATTCATTTATATAATCAACTATTGTGTGATTATGTAATTAGAAATAACTTCATTCGTTGATATACATAAAAATCAGCAGGATCGATTAAGGCGTACAAGACAGCTGACGGTGTACCCGCTTCGGTATGGTGTCATTATCAACAACAACAGCACGATACATTACGTCAGACCATATATAAGCCTGCCAGTGTCAGGTTGACAGCGCAATTCTCCACCTACATGTTTAACTTACCGCCCACATAACATTTCAAAATGATATAAGCATCAACCAGCAATACGAAACTGAAAAAACCTACGTTGGACAATTTGTCAATATCATTATTACTTTAATGACACGTTAGAGTACAAATTGTTTCTGATCAATTCACAAATATTTAATTCATAATTCAACTGCATCTAAGCGATTACAGAAAGACTGTCGATAAAAGCTTACTAAAGAAATAAACATGCTTTTAAATTTCCCGCTGTTTCTCAATACTCCAATTTTGAACATTTGTTTCAAATGGTTGAGCTTATAAGGTTCTGAACAGCTGCTTACATGAAGGTTTGTTATGCCCCTTCCGAACAGACACCTCAGGATGACGACTTAAATGATGACTTGCATGTACATCTACCCAGGGACTCACTTCCGGTGATCTGAATTACACCGTTGACCACGGGTGTAACGACATGCCTACTGAAAACAGTGTCTGTGCAGACATTGGACACGTACGTAAGTCGTGAAATTGACAGATGTGGGTAACACTACATAATCCGCATTATACTACGCACAGCCGATCCCATATATATGTGGAGTAGTGTTGCCGTACTTAAAGACCTATACACAAGGTTTCTAGGAAATTGAAACAGTCCAATGAAACAGAATAAATCAAATTCTATAGTATATTATAACAAGATGAAGTGAACAGGTGTACAACGATTCATATAAAGATTAATTTTCGTTTTTTGTAATGCTAATATACCGTATCTAATGTGTAATTAAGTAGGGTTAAGTGTTGTCAAATATCGTTTAAACTGTTTGCTAACCACACTTATCTATACCTCGTGATTTAAGTACTCCATGTGTGATGAATTGATGTCATCAAATATTGTAAGACCGTTGTGTTTTTTCTCATCAGAGTATATGTAAAATTTAGAAATGCTGTACTTAACATTTGTTTATTAACAATAGAGGCCATCAAATCAATTAACAAATACTGTGGGTGAAAGGTAATTGGCAAGTTTTGATCCAGAGATAAAAAGTGGAGGCTTATATTTGTATTTACATAGCATGGCAAAATAGCATCAATCCTATAGAATAACGGTTGTGGGGGATCAGACTTCCGGTTTAATCAACAAAAGACAGACGCTAATATAGTTTGTCACTTTGTTCTTATATCCCTTTTTTGTATTATTTTCCTCTGTAAATTGGGATGTTATCAAAAAACGAGATCCGGTGTAAAATATTCAATGTCTATCACGATAAAAGTCCCATGTGCTGTGTATCATATCGTTAATGCTCGGCATACATTTTTTATTGGGACATCATGGTCCCTTACTATGGAACTAAGGCATCGAAAACAAAAAAGGTATATCGGAATAGCAATATTTATTTAATACATCATTTGATGTGGCTTTCCAACACGAAAACAACATTTCCCACACCTCAGCGACGTCGTGATTAAACAGAGCTAATGTTTGTTGTTGACAATGTACACGACGTTAAGAAAATTCATTTATTATTTATTTATTACTTAAGTCTAGGTTTCGTTCAGGCATTGCCAGTTACTGTAACTACGCATGTGAAACGGTTACATCCGGCATCACTATTACTTTGATCAATCGTTTCTGAAATTTTCGTGACACTTTCATGAAAAAATTAGGAAGATGATATTTTTAAAACAAATAATAAAAATCAATGGTCTGAGTGTAAAACAAATCGGCAAGACTAGACCAGGATTTGAACCCTGCACTTCAGATAAGTATACCACCGCTCTAACCGACTGAGCATCCTGGTCAATCGTGTTCTTGCCCATCTGTGTTACAATTTATAGTGATATCCAAAGCGAATTAAGGCGTCGTTACTGTATAAACAGAAAACCACAGCGCAGTGGGGTCTTTACATTTATGTACGATTTCAGTTCTCCAGATGTTTAAAGAAAAATAAGTAACCTTCGAGAACCATGACATTGATATCAAATTAAATAAACGGTTATTGAAGATACTTCATAATCAGATCTGTTTAAGTTTTTTTACTCAGCACTACGGAAGAACTGAATGTCAATCTCTGGATTTATTGCCTGATGCAATTGCTATTTCAATGGCGTTTCACATTTCGTGTTGCATTTAAGATTTCGATATGATCCTTGGTTATTTTTATACCTCTATTAAGCTGCCGGTTGATGCTGTAATAACGGTGTTGTCGAAAAGCTCAAATGACGTAAATGGCTGACGTAGAATCGTTATATAACATGGATATTGTCGGCATTATAAAGAAACCAACATAAAATCAAATATAACGCCTTAGAGATTAAATACAAAACACACAAATATAGTAATTCGTTTCAAATTTTATTATTGTTCAGATGGAGTAAAGCATAGATATTGGCGGTAATCTTTGTCATATGATATATAGTCGTGTCTTTATCTTTGGATCAGTTCCATTGCTATACTGAGTGTCGTTGCATCATCTGTTACTGTAAAACAAATATATTTCGCGGGATATATGATATCGCAGTTAATAAAAAAAAAAAGCGATCGAAAATTAAAATTTATCTCACTAATTTTATCAATTTTAAAATTCACTTTTTCACTATGCTATTGCGTAAGTTAGCAACTAATTACTGACATGGTCTACAGTTTTGTTTTCTATCAGACTCTTTTTGAGCTCCGTGGTTGGTAAACTTTATACTTTTGAATTCATGCAGTAACACGTTTCTCGTAAAGAGTCAATTTTCACTCAGATTGAAATATGTGATAGTTACTTGTTATCTTGTAAAATTCTGGCGGTTTTGTAGGAAATCCTACGAAACGATGTTAGCTTTCACATTCGTTACAAAGGAATCCTATTAGCCTTGTTCGTGTACATGTACAGCAGGTATGAAAACTAAATTATATAAATTGTGATATCTTCCTTCAAAAATGCTAACAATTCTATGTCATTTCTTGAAACAATCTTTTGAAAGGATGTAAGGCTTACAGACAATTCCGTAGTTTTTATTTATTTTGGTTATCCCTGTCACTGTTTAATTACGTTTGGTGTTTGTGTGTGCTGACAAAAGGGCGGATTTTCTTCCATACCGCACAATATATAGCATTCACTGTCACTCACAATATTCTGTGCACTCATAATGATGAAAATGGAATACAAATCGTTAATCAAAAATATATATAATATGTTTCATATTTAGATTTACTTGGAACCAGTAGTTCAGGCATCGTTAAGCAGCTAGATATAAATTATATCTCTAAATAAATTATATTTTTGTTCGCATGGTACTGGCGGCTTAACAAGGGAGATCAGTAGTACCAGCATCCAGTTACAAATGATGATGCTGTCATTTATGCAAGATGCTTTTGTTGTATCAAAAGATATAACAATTTCACATTCAAAAGTAAGGATACAAGTTGACTGAGATTTTATTTCCAGTTAAATAAAACGGAAAATAGTACAGTTTCATACGACGACATAAAGATTTGATAGACTGTGAAAATAGTAAAAATAACAAATAAATAGAATAATGAGTGCATGAGATATTGATGGTACATTATCTTAGGAAACAACAAATTGGCATTTTACAATTTAAGCAAATATGATTACGTAGCAAGGTGAAGTACAAACATGTCAAACGGATTTATTTGATTTATTTTTCCTATCTACGAAACATGGTGTTCCCACAGAACGTTCATAATGATTGATCTAGTTGATGAAAATTATATGGTTAAAGTATATTGCATATGGAAAAAGTGAATCATGGTTTCAGAAATTTATAAACGAATGCAACGGGGAAAAAACTGTCTGAAAATCAGTCGAAAATACCCGAAAGCTTTTCATTTCGTGATTGAATCAAAGTTTGAAGTTAAGCCTGGTACTAACCTCAAAATGATAATACTTATTTTTCCTGACAACTACTCTGAAAGACGTACTACTCGTCTAATTCAGCCCTATTCGGTTTTTTTCCTTTCCTTTTCTCTTTTGTCTTCCCTTTTCCTTTTGTGTTTTGATCCGGTTTTATTCTCCTGTATTTTTACCACTCGAAAATATTACACTCGAACCCAACTAGAAATGTTACTCCGAGGAAACAATTATTTTTTTGGATTAAGATTTCATGCCAATGAAACAACTAAAAGTTGCTGTTCCAACAAAGATATTTCATGCCGGACGCATTAACATTTCGCAACATCTAATAGGAAAACGTGTCGATACAAAGGGCGTCAAAGATGTCCATCATTGAGTTTCTTTATCTTACAAATCAAAATAATTTTATGTTGCGTTCTGTTTCGTCTTTATTATATTTGCATTTTTTCCATTTCCGTTCTATATGTATTTTCTGTGATAAGATGATTACTTTCGTTCCGTTCGTCACAAACATCTTCCAAAAGAGAGTCAACTTCATTGTATTTTGTACTTTGTGAAAAATTGGAGACTTTTATTCAATTATTTTGGAACCACTTTTACTATAAGTTCGTTTACCTTCATGTCTTGTCCTTGAATGCCTTTAGCTTTCGGGTTTTCCTGTCGTTCGCGATAGCATAGGATTGTTTGTTTCTTAAATGGTTTGATGTAGTTTTTCATGAAAGCATTGGTATTATATAAGTAGTAATATGCATTTGGTCTTGGTTGAGTCCAACTCATAACTATATATTGTAAAACTGAAACACGCCCAATATAGCAAGAATTTTCGTTCTGGTGAAAGAGGTCTTGCAACTTTAACAGACAGCATGGGTAATACGGGATATGTGCAGTAATCCTCCTTATTTTCAGATTTCCTAAAGATACAAACAGAATCTGTAAACAAAATAAATATTATCCATCAGTTTAACATGAAGGATAGATTAACCAAGTCTGAACTTTTCGTGACATTAAATTTGATGTAAGACGATTTTCATATTACAGGGTTCGTTTTACGACAATGAGAAGTTCATTGATCGGGTATAGACTAAATTGCATATTGCCTTACATATTTTGATGACATAATCCAGGTAAATTATCGAAGAATGTTTATGTTAGAGACAGACACATTTTAGGCTCCATTGACGTGAACTTCCATTAACTCCTTCCTTTATTTCTGATTTTCAATTGAAATTTTTCTTAACATTGCGATTTTCTCTTATCACCAGGAATGCTTTGTAACGGGGACAAAAGTTAAGGAAAAGTTCGTGAAAACTAGAGTTAGCAATATCAATTTTGACAAGAATTCAAAAGTAAAAAGTAAAAAAAAACTCAAAATCTGTGATAAAAGATATACACCTAGACCCTTGAAAAGTACATGGAGATTAAGACCTGGGTCCGTATTCACGAAAGCGTCATCATGCTCAAGCATGGACTCTGTGCTAAAACTTGCTTTTTGGTTACTCACTTAAATCATGTCAAACGATTAAAAGGTCAATTTTAAACATTGAAAAGAGTGTTCCATTTTAAGACCCTTCAAATATTTTCCATTTTTTTAACAAAATAAGATTGTTTTGATAATTTTGACTGGAACAAGAAATTAGGTTTAATATAGAATCTATGCGGAAGCATAGTTCCGCATGGATTCTATATTAACTCATTCACCCCTAGAATTTCATAATGAGCTATCCCAACCTTTGTATTGGAAGAGTTAAAATGTGTCTTCAGGGGTGAATGAGTTAAACCTAATTTTGTTAACTCGCTTAAATCATGTCAAACGATTAAAAAGTAAATCATCGAAACAATTTTAAGCTTTAAGTCTTTTCAATGGGTTTTTCCAAACAATTGACAAATATGATTTATCTATTCATTTATAACGGGAACAGGAAATTCGGGTTACGCACACAGTCCATGCTTGAGGAAAAGAGCAGTTTCATGAATACGGGCCTTTGCTTTCCGGGAGGTTTGTTTCCTTCATTAACGACACCCACCATGTTAATATAGGTATAATTAAAGTAATTAGGGACTCACCTGTAATCATGGTACGCATATCCGGTATTACTGGTATTACTTTTCTGGCAGTTGATAACCTATAACAGCCATATCGTCAAAATCGAAGGTGAGCTCTTCCTTGGATGTAGTCTGTGGACTGCCTATATAAGAGATACAGAAATATATAAAAAAAAAATAAAAAAAAAAATCATTTTTTATGAAACAAGTTATTAAAACTTATATTAATCACTCTTGTTTGCTCGGATGTTAGCGCGCAGGAGGTCTTAATGTGTGAGGAAACCGGAGTACTCTTCGTGAAAGACGAATGCGTAATCCACTGTGCAACCCGACCACCCAAGAAGAAATATATGAATTCATGTGAAACAATGAACCTTTATTACATCAATATCACGGATTATCTAATTTAATATGATAAGGACAAAAATAAGTATACGTTAGATAGAAAGGACAAGAAGTAAGTAAATATTCGCAGTAAGGACGTAGCTAGTACAGTGTACATACTATGCAGTAAATTGAAGGATGAGAAATACGTATATATTTAAGTTTATGTATCCTTTTGGTTCGCTAGCATTTAACAAAATGAGAAAAGAAGAGTTATTACTCAGTGGATTTCCTTCAGAATTAGCCTCATTATATTGGAAAAACTAAGGGAAACCAGGAACCCGGAAGGCTAAACATTTCCGTCACCACATGTGGTACTCAACATGTCGACTACCGTCAAATCCGTAAATTAAGTATATAGCTCACCAACACTCTTTATGATTTCTACTGATTTGACATTTATTATAAGGATCGCTTCGATGCACACTTTTTTTATTAAAAAATAAACTCAGCAATCTAAACAAATAAATTGTATAATTCATGACTAAAAGTAAAATACAAAAGATAAATAGGTTTATTTTTAAAATATACCAATCAAAGGTAACCTGTCTGGACAAAAAATACAAATATATAACACTTAAAGCATGTCAGTGATAAGTATGTCTGTTCGACCGTTCTTCCTACTCTTCCGGTCTGCCGTTTGGACTTCCATTAACCTTGACTAACAATCGTCATTTCCGTCCTCCGTCACATGACACGCACCGTTCGTGCTAAGATATGTGCCTTTATTCAGAATAAATGATCGTATCTGTCAAATGTAGGAAGCAATGAAGAAAATATCTGCTGGTTTTATGGGATCATTGACGTGGAGCGCGTCAGATTTGTTCTGCACACGACCGTATTTCATCAGAACAGGGAAGTATTGACGGCAACTTAAAATTTTCTAACGACTGCTGTTACATAAAAACGACATCACATTTTTTTTTTTTTTTTTTTTTTTTATATTTCCCTGAAAATTGTTAGGTGCAAATGCTCTTCTGTCATGTTATGGCAAAATGTATAAAAAATTGTATGCATACATATTTATTAGTTGTTTGATGAAAATCATGTATAATAGCATTACTTTTTGACTCGGTATACTTGATTATATTTTTAAAAAGTTTATATAATGTGAACAAAAACTACATAAAATGTTTGAAAGAATGTGCGTGCGTGCGTGTGTGCGTGCGAGGGACGGTGAGTGCGTGTGTGTGAGTGGTGGTTGAATGCGTGTGTGGTTGAAATAAGTGCATGTAAGTGGGTCTATTATAATGTGCAGTTTATCATACACGTATGTAGTTTTGACATTTTCAATTGTAGTTAAAAACTTATTGTAAAATTCTAGGGAAAGGGCTTTGTATGATCATCAAATTGAGCCCAATCCCATTGCTAATAAGAATAGGCAATACAATATGGTTAAATCAAATCATAACTTAACCACAATGACCACAAACTAGGAAATTTAAACAAATGGCACGCTTCACGCTTCACGATCCCGGAAAATGTCCGAAAAGATATATGAGGTCATGCAGGTTAACCAATGAAGAATTAAAATATCTTATTGTGTACATTGTACTTGTAGTTCCAATATTACTACAAGACAAGTATGGAAAAAATTATTCGATCCCAAACTTTGTATTTAAATTAATTTGAACATATGAGTTCTTGGATTAGGAATATCTAAAAAATAATGAAAATAAGCCCCCATAAAAGCTAATTAATTTTCAGTATATGAGCATACTTTAGTAACATAGAATGTTGCCTGTTATCTAAATAAGTATTTAACTTTTATATGTATATTAAAACATCATAGAAATATTTGGTTTAGTTAGTTTAAGCAGATTTTATTGCGTATTACAATGAAAGGATTAGGCGCAAATTATTACAATTTATGTATACCTTTTCCCGATTTAATTACAAAACAATGCATGAAATATTTGGTAACAAAGCAAAACTGCGTTGCATACAATGTTTTGCGTTGCTCTATTAAAATACGCGATAACGATGTTCCGGGGTCACCATTGTAAGATATGTTCATGTTACTTTCATCATAGAATATCGCCGCATGCACTCACTAGAATGCATGCAAAGTATTGTGTACGCGTTTTCCTATCACACGCTTTGATCTGCTGACTGACTGGCGAATGAATATCATTTCAGTTGCCGCTTCACTCTCTAAACTAATTACGGCCTTCTAACTCCGCAACACGAACGCTCCTTGCTTTTTATTCTGTTATTGTTGAAGGTTTACACGATAAACGTCCCTTAAAAAACCTACATGCAATTCATTTTTTTTGCAGAAATAACGAAAATAGCGATAAAACAAACCGGTTGGCTGGTTGTGGTTAAACTGGTACTAGGTATTTTGTTATATTGTTGTAAAGCTTACTAATAACAACACACTGTATCTTTACTGCGATTAACGTCTGCTCAAACGACCTTATTCACGGTGAATTTCAAACTATAGATAACGGAAAAACTGTCAAATGTCCATTTGATCGTTAAAATATAAATAAAACTTTAACACCGAATCCGAATATAACCATAGATAAAGATGTATATATATTGAAACAGATCACGTCTTCCGACCGACTACAAAACGAGCAGCTTTCATCCTTTACAAGGCCCACCAGCGTGAAAGCTGCTAGTTTTATGGTCGGTCGCAAGATATATTTTTCTTACTTATCTACTTCACACAGACATTTCATTGTCTTTTATGTATGTAATATTATTTTAGATCGTAAATGTAACTATTGATTATTTTGAATATTTTTGTTGGTAAGCGACTGGATTCCATCCATGACCCCTAAGGTGTCACAAAAGGAACAGTTAAAAAAGTTTCAAGTTTGTGATATTAGTATCTATCATTTGAACTTAGGTAGAAAAACAAACGATGTACGAACAATTCTGCTGAAATTATGAGGAACGGAATATATCCTACACGTGTTTGTGTCAAAACGTTATTGAAATATACCCGTTTCATAAACAAGTTTTCTTGCCATTCATTCGTTCAAACATATGTTATTGACATTAAACAGTTAAAGGGATAGGACACAAGTTCTTACAACTTACTAAGCCCTCTTCATTGTTATCTTATCGACAGAGACTTTTGTCGAAAGAAATATTCTTAACGTTTTGTTTGATTCTCGTTTCCTTTTTGATGGACTTTTTTTATTATTATTTTTATTTTATTAATTCAAATTGTCAGATTATTTAATTTTATTACTGTGCATGAAATTCAAAAACAAAACAATATCATTCTCTTACGTTCAAAATGGTAATTCCATATTGCTGTAATAAAACTAAAAACCTAAAACGTTATTTTAACTCTACTTCGAAACTTGTGTGTGAATGGCATTACACATCGAGGCTAACGTTATATTGTGCCATACATAAAAAGCATTATTTCACTACGCTCAACTGATATTAATTAAATGATGAACGTAACGCACCAGTGATTGCACACAAACTGTTTGGTAATATATACAGTATGAACAAGCAAAAACAATAATTCCGCTCATCACTACTGCTTTTTCGTCATTGTAGGACTCATCTGTGATGCCAGAAGCCAAAAAGGTGGCACTGCCAATACGTCTTAACTACGGTTGTAACCATAGAAACCACCTTTATTAAAGGAGCTGCAAACATTCGAAGATATTGATAAATTTCAAATGATTAATTTCAGTGTTTTGACATGTATTACTCTTATAATACATCAAGGAAAGTGCCTTATTTATGTAATAACGATATTAAAATTGCTGATTTTGTTTTATATCAATTCCATTATTGTTATATATAAAACTATATGAACGGTATGATATTAGCGAGTCCATGTTTGAGAATCATCATTTGGCTTTCAAAAGCACATGTTTGTTAACAATATATCTAAAGTTACCATGGAGACATGCAAAACATGTCAAAAAGACCTTTTGTTATTGACTTCAACTTTACCTTTATATAATGGTAAGTTATTGGTTTCGCTGATCGTCTCATAACCTGGCCTCAATCTTTTCCCAAAACGACCTTGGGGTCGGAATCTCTTTTCTTGACCTTGGCCGTAGAAAATAGCTGGTATTTCCAAAACTCCCGTACTGGATCTCGGCGTGTCCAGAGAAGATATCTCTGCATCCGGAATGCGTCCGGATCTTTCTTGTGGCTGTAATGATTTGTAATCGAATTGGAAATCGCGTTTTCCGAAACGCATATGTGACATAAATCTCCGTTTGGACGGCAATCGTGATCGCTTCCCAAACCGTAGCTGTGGGCGAAAGGATTCCTCCAGGTCATTCGCCTGGTCCGTAACCCCAACGGGGCCGCGCTTCCCGAACCTTAGTTGTTGTTGAAATCGTTTCCGGTTCGAGTTTACATTTGACATGGAGTCAAGGTTGTTCGTTTCCTGTCCTTGCAGTGAACATTTCAAAATGCATCTTTCATCGTCTGGGAAGCAATCTGAACATATATACGGAAATGCTTCCAATGCAATACACAGTGTCAGCAGACCTAACGTCGTCCGGGCAGTCGATTTTAACAAGCACTTCATCTGAAGGAGAATAAAAAATTAATTTGTATAATAGGTTATTGTACTTAAAAGCCACACATCAATGCTATTGCTGTATAAATTGTTCAACAAGAAAAAAAAAATTGCCGGGATTTTTATTTCAACATCACTTAGTTAGTTGAGATAAAATTGCAATTATTCTATTTTCTTTACACATATTAAGGAAAACCAATTAGTGTTTGCAATAAAAACACATTTGACCGCAACTGTTTCTTAAAGGTTATTAGACAGTTTTGAAATTTACTGAGATATCTCACACACTATATCTTGACTTTTTAAGACATTAAGTAATATTTTCTAGTCCTAAAATCAGCGGAAAAACCACAAATATGACTTTAATCAGTAAGTTAGACAGAATAGAGTAAGTTACACAAATAGGATAAATATGAAATCTGTCTAGCCATGTTTGAAAACGTATCGATTGTGTTCATGATTGAGTGCAACCTATGATCGTGCCTGAGTAACATGCATTGTATAGCTTCGCCTTGTTCATATTTTGCCCCGGTATTTGTTTTATTTCAGTATGAGTTTTTGTATGGTTTTGTTTACACTTCTGTATTCTCCTGTAAATTTTCATATATGTGTTTACAACGTTCACCTTGTATATACTTTACTCCAATCTCGTAATTCTAACAAACATCTCTGTCTAATTCTTATATTTTCATTAATACTATAAAACTGCCGGTTGCGTTTTAATTCATTTTTGGGACTACAATGTTAATAATTCGATTGGCCACTACGTCTACTGCTCCGGAGAAGCCTACTCCGGAAATCTAGATAAGATTTTTAAATAATCAACAATTAGACACAGATCTCTGTATTCATTCAACGTCGTAGGTAGCAGGTCTTTATGTTGCGAACAGGATTGTGTTCGTAGCACAGCAGTAACCGTTAACGTCTGAGCAATCAACACACGCGTAGTATTGTTTCTATTTGTTTTCCTTGATACATATGTATGTACATTATAATTTCTACAAAACGTTTACTCATGATAATACCATTTTTACATGCTTTCTCGTATTATCTGATAGTTATTTTCAAATTGCTTTCTGTGAATTTGATTCAAGACGAATGTCAGACAAGATGACGACAAGAAAACAATAACAGCTGCATGTTATAATAACTTAAATAGACGCTAAAATACTCGAAAGCAATGTATGTGTGAGATATCTGATTTGACTAACAAATAGCTAACTTTGAGTTGCAGAAAAGATATGAGTTCCGGTCAAATTGTTAAATACAACATTCTGCATCACACATGTATGAGATACAAGGTTTCCAAACAAATTGCCTGAAAATGACTGTGATGCGTTTTTTGCAGTTTTTATTTGTCTAAATATGAAAATTACGCATAATCATGTAACTTAACACTTGTTGTTGCTTAACAAGCAGAATTAATTAGGGTCGAATAGCTGGAAAAAAAATCATAAAATGAGGTGAGATTTCGATTTGGGCGATAAACGTAGTTTTGTGATTTCTGCATAACAGTAAGCAAACGTATCTCATAAAAATCTCACGTGGTGTGGCTCGTCCTTGAACAAGATGTCGATCATTAAACAATTCCAAACAACATGTATTAGAAAGAAGTTTCGTAACTCATGAAAATTGTTTGGTCCCGTAAGTTGATTTTAAAATAAAAAAGAACGGAAAGCTCGCTAAAAACTCATTTTCTGTTTATAATTTGAAAATTAATCTACACCAGGTTTAATAGTTTGATAAACAGCAGCGACTTGCTTTTGAAGCTATAACCATTGATGACATTATTTTTTTTTTAGCTAAAAAAAAATCGCATAAATACAATACATAGTTAAGACAAAGGAAATGGAAATGATCACTATTGTTTTCAGATTCATTTGTTGATTGATTAGTCATATAATATAACATCGGCATCATGAATTGGTATTTGTTAAATACACGACATTTCAACGAAGTACAAAAAGGACGTGAAACGTTGTAGGGAACTGATGACGTCACATATATATAAGTTACCACATGGCAAGACAAGGCATGTATTCCATTGCGGTCATCATTTTACGATAAAATATGATTTAGTAAGTAACAAAACAGCGGTAATAAAAAGATGTTTAATTATATACCATTACTCATGTTTTGGAACTTCGATCATGCTACTACGGAAAGATGAAGTCACAACTGATTCCATATCTATGATGCGTAAACGGTCAATTAGATTTTCCTTCCTTCTGTATATCAAACGTGATTTGATTTCAAAATGTATTATTACGTGTCGCGCACAACGTTAATTACATGGAAAAATTGAACTAAAATGACCTGTCTCGCATATTTTGTTGACGAAAACATATGTACATGTGAATATAAGTTATAAATTTTGTAAACAACAATGGATATATCCTAGTTTATACATAGTAACAAAATACTATTTAGATTATACAATTAGCTAAGGATGTTTGCGATCGATTTCCTTATATCCATTGCTATATTTTATAAATAAGCTTTGAAAACTAAAAAGAACCATAAGAATAGTGTACATTACACGACTAACTATTGACAGTTAGACAGAAAAAAATGTTAAGAAATACTTACTTGCAGATTTTAAGAGGAGCGCTCTGAGGTAGATTATGACTTACAACGCTGGTAGTTCAATGACTCACTTTAACGTGAGTTGAGTACAATCTGGCAGCTCGTAATGATATAGTAACTGAAGAATGCTTGTGTACAGTAATACCCGTCACTGTTGGTATTGTCGAGTATTTAATATGAAAACACAGTCATATCGAAATGCACTTATTTACTGCGATTGTAAACTTCACGAGATTTTGGTCGTGTAAAGCCGTGATGCACGCTCTATAGCTATCAACTGATTCCCCTGAGGTGTCGCCTCGACTTATATATACTGAAATACGATCCCTCACGACAATCTCGGGCAGATTTGACATGGACACCATCCATAACAACGGAGTGCTACAGTGTTTATCTAACGTGAGTAGGCATGCTAAACAGCTGGAGTAGCACCAAACAACACCGCAGTAACACCCATTGTTTGACACGTCAAAGTATCAGAATTCGATTTTCAGCAGGGGGGTACGTTTTAACAATCACGTCGAAAAATCATTGGTAATAAATATAAATATAACATTATATAAACTAAATATAAACTTTATTGATTTTATAACAATTATGAAACAAGTTATTTTCACCTAAATTAATCACTCATGTTGGCCCGGATGTTAGCGCGCGAATGTCTTAATCAATCAACTAACATTTCCTGAAAAAACCCGCCTTTATTCTAAGTCACATTGCACGGTCCTTGTATGAAGCACCTTAATTCCAATGCAACCGTAACGCAATGTATATGATAAGCCACAATATAAGCACATGCTGTTCTTCCGTTATGTACATTGTACCAGGAATAAACAGGCATAAGCTAATGTAAATTCGCGATTTGAGTCATCCTTCATGGTGAATAAGTAACTGTCTTAGTAAGGAGATTTTGAAAGGGCAAAACTATCGCAAACATCGGTTCTGAGGCCTCACAACAGGAGATTCAAACAATAGAATAAATACTAAATAGAAACAGCTATATGAAATAAATATTATTGTCCTTTTCCACAATTTTGTGAGTATGGACCATGGATTTCTAGATAAGGTCCATTGGAAAGCGGCACATTTAGTGACATGCAAAGTGCCTACACGATTTCTATTTTAGTAGGAAAGTTCCTTCATTCAGAAAATAGATGGGGAACATAAGCTTATTTATATCGTCTCCTCCTCTTTCAATTGCCTTCTCACTCTGGTAGAAAATAGAACTAATACAAATATAAGGAAAGTAATTGATTATACAATCCACCATAAATAACCATGATATTACTTACATGGCTTTTCCCCTTCTACAATTGGGTTTGGAAACATGTTTGACGATGAAGTGAAAACTTATAATGCAGTCTTAATACATTAATTTCAAACAGGATCTCGTAAACTACCGGAAGCATTCTCTAAAAGCAAGACAAAGAAGGAAGTTTCACACAAATCGCCCCCCTGGTGAAAACAACACCTCTATCAATGGGATTGCTCCATTCTGCACAAGGCTATCTCCCCGTAAGGAGTAACAATTTGATCTTTTTACGGCTTAAAACGAAAACACACCTGCGAAGTGTGGGAGAAAAGATAACTGGAAATAATTTCCACACAAATGTGATCTGCGTAAGAAAATCTTCCGTCATAAACATATCAATACAAAGTTACGGAAAAATAATGTAAGAATGAAACACCATGTCAGGTGTAAATGTACATATGGAAAAGCCAATGACATTTCGCAGCACTTGGGAACATATTTTCTAGTTAATGGTTTTACCAGGCTTTATCAGTAGTTTGAACCCGTTTGTCTAGTTAATGGTTTTACCAGGCTTAATCAGTAGATTTGGCTCGTTTGTTAAGTTAATGGTTTTACCAGGCTATATTAGTAGATTGGGCTCGTTTGTCTAGTTGATGGTTTTACCAGGCTGTATTAGTAGATTGGGCTCGTTTGTTTAGTTAATTGTTTTACCAGGCTGTATGAGTAGATTGGGCTCGTTTGTTTAGTTAATGGTTATACCAGGCTGTATAAGTAGATTGGGCTGGTTTGTCTAGTTAATGGCTTTACCTGGCTTAATCAGTAGATTGGGCTCGCTTGTTTAGTTAATGGTTTTACCAGGCTGTATTAGTAGATTGGGCTCGTTTGTTTAGTTAATGGTTATGCCAGGCTGTTTTAGTAAAGTGGCCTGTTTGTCTAGTTAATGGCTTTACCGGGCTTAATCAGTAGATTGGGCTCGCTTGTTTAGTTAATGGTTATACCAGGCTGTATTAGTAGATTTGGCTGGTTTGTCTAGTTAATGGCTTTACCAGGCTTAATCAGTAGATTGGGCTCGCTTGTTTAGTTAATGGTTTTACCAGGCTGTATTAGTAGATTGGGCTCGTTTGTTTAGTTAATGGTTATGCCAGGCTGTTTTAGTAAAGTGGCCTGTTTGTCTAGTTAATGGCTTTACCTGGCTTAATCAGTAGATTAGGCTCACTTGTTTAGTTAATGGTTTTAACAGGCTGTATTAGTAGATTGGGCTCGTGTGTTTAGTTAATGGTTATACCAGGCTGTATTAGTAGATTGGGCTGGTTTGTCTAGTTAATGGCTTTACCGGGCTTAATCAGTAGATTGAGCTCGTTTGTTTAGTTAATGGTTTTACCAGACTGTATTAGTAGATTGGGCTCATTTGTCTAGTTAATGGTTATACCAGGCTTAATCAGTAGATTGGGCTCGTTTGTCTAGTGAGTGGCTTTACGAGGCTTAATCAGTAGATTTGGGATGGTTTGTCTAGTTAATGGTTTTACCAGGCTGTAATAGTAGATTGGGCTCATTTGTCTAGTGAGTGACTTTACCATGCTGTATTAGTAGATTTGGCTGGTTTTTCTAGTTAATGGTTTTACCAGGCTTTATCAGTAGATTGGCCTGGTTTGTCTAGTTAATGGTTTTACCAGGCTGTATTAGTAGATAGGGCTGGTTTGTCTAGTTAATGGTTTTACCAGGCTGTATTAGTATATTGGGCTTGTTTGTCTAGTTAATGGTTTTATTATGCTGTATTAGTAGATTGGTCCCGTTTGTTTAGTTAATGGTTATACCAGGCTGTATTAGTAGATTGAGCTGGTTTGTCTAGTTAATGGCTTTACCAGGCTTAATCAGTAGACTGGGCTCGCTTGTTTAGTTATTGTTTTTATCAGGCTGTATTAGTAGATTGAGCTGGTTTGTCTAGTTAATGGCTTTACCAGGCTTAATCAGTAGACTGGGCTCGCTTGTTTAGTTAATGGTTTTACCAGACTGTATTAGTAGATTGGGCTCGTTTGTCTAAAGTGTTTAGAAATCGTTACCTGTCATTGTCGACCAGAGCCTTAATTGTAGAATGAAGTATGCGAGTAAATTTACTTGATAATTATATAAGTACAACTTACATAAAAAATACTTATTCGTCAACATATTGCAGTTATTGTTTATATCATCATTTACACCTTAATGTTAATGACAATTATATATATATTTGACTCCTTTTGAACTGATCAATTTGTGTCATATGTTATATAATTACATATGGTATGAAATATACTAAACAGAAAACGAAACGCACAATTAAATTATGCAATCAATAGCCTATGATATTTTGGGAAATTTGTACAAAATTGTATATCAATATGACGGGACAAGTCTTCTCTTTACAATACTGTAGAAGAAAAGTCTGTGTGACGTCACTTAGTAGTTACTCAAAGTGGGATACCCGAGAAAAACAAAATGACACTTCAGTACCTGGTGTGGGCACCTTTTGCACGAATCGCTGCACGGATTCTTCTATGCATTGAATTCATGAGAACATTTATTCGCCTTAAAGGGGCTGGTCGGGGAAAAAATGTCATATTTGCTAAAATGGCATACACATGTTTAAAATACTTTCTTATGAAATATACCGATTCAAATTTTGCTGAAATTCACTCCATAAGAGTAAAAAATATAATTATAATAAAGAAATCCTAAATCGTCACCTGACAGTCTAAAATTATCAATTGACCCTGATCAGTGATGTAATTTTACCGAACGCTTGTCATCAAGAGGGCTAAATGTAAACATCGCGGCGAAAGAAAAAGATACATGCAAAAGTCACCTGACAGGCACGAGGTATCAATACCGTTATATATAACAACAACATATAGGTAGGAATACTACACTTGCATCATACATGACCTTTGAAAACATTTATTTACGTATAGTATTGCTGTCTTGTCCGCTAGTTGAGTCCGACATGGCACATGACGGCGTGCTATTGTTGTTATCTTCACTGCCTCACTTTCGAAACAACCACGTGACATATATAAATAGATCTGCAAGCAAAACTCGACCATCATATTACCGTGGTATAACTTTTGGAAGGCCGGAGAACGCACTTAGACCCATTTATTTTGTATTTTTTCCCCCGACCAGCCCTTTTAAGGGAATATTGTTCCATTCTTGTGTTAATGCTGCGATCAAATGGGCGCGGTTAATGGTTTTTTTTTTTACGTTTCCTAATACGCCTGTCCATCTCATCCCACATATGCTCAATGGGAGACATGTCGGGGCTATATGGGGGCCATTCCAGAGGCTGAACGTTGTTTGGCGTTAGAAAATCACGACAGACTCTGGCAACATGCGGTCGAGCATTGTCCTGCTAGACAATTAGGTTATGACGTCTGAGAATTGGAAAGACATGTGGTTGGAGGATCTGGTCTCTCTATCGAACGGCATTGAGGTTTTGATCCAGGACCACTAAGGGGGGTTTTACTCCATAGGAGATGCCTCCCCAAACCATTACAGAAGCCCCACCAAATCTATCGCGTTCAACCACGCATGCGTCGGCGAAACGTTCACCCTTTTTCTTCCATCTGAGCGATACAGACATAATCTAGACTCGTCGGTGAACATCACACGCCTCCCAAACCTATTCGGGCCATATCTGCGCATCCAGTCAAGATGCACTTGCCGCCTCCGTGGTGTCAGAGGTGGTCCGACATAAGGTCGGCGCGCAATGATTCTCTCGGCACGCAAGCGGTTCCTGGCAGTTTGAGGACTAATGGGTCTGCCATGAGTACCTAAGGTGTGCGACGCAGTCTCTTCAGCAGTCTTGAATCTGTTGCGCAAGTGCGACAATCGAATCGCACTGTCTTGTCGTGCTGTCGTTATACGCGGACGACCGCTCCTGGGACGATCGGAAACTAACCCAGTAGCACGGAAACGTGTACAGAGACGGTTAATTGTACACGGGCTAAC